AGACCCAAACATACAGATTAAAGAAAGAATATTAAGAGCAGCTAAGGAAAAAGGTCAAATAACATATAAAGGCAAACCTATCAGAATTACACCTGACTTCTCCATGGAAACTGTGAAAGCCAGAAGGTCCTGGATAGATATTCTGCCAACACTAAGAGACCATGGATGCCAGCCCAGATTACTATACCCAACAAAACTTTCAATCACTATAGATGGAGAAAACAAGAAATTCCATGACAAAACCAGATTCAAACAATATATATCCACTAACCCAGCCCTACAGAAAGGTTTGGAACGAAAACTGCAACCAGAAAAACATATGCAATAGATAATCCTACCTTTACCAACATCCAAAATAAAAAAAGGGGTAGAAATCCACATATAATTCCACCACCACCAACCATTCCCCCCCCCAAAAAAAAAACAAGAATGAGCAATCAATGGTCATTAATATCCCTCAATATTAATGGTCTTAACTCACCCATAAAAAGACACAGGCTAACAGAATGGATTCAAAGACAGAACCCGTCATTCTGCTGCATACAAGAAACACACCTCGGCCTCAAAGACAGACATTACCTCAGAGTTAAGGGTTGGGAAAAGATTTTCCAATCAAATGGACCCAAGAAACAAGCGGGGGTATCGATCTTAATATCTAACAAATTAGACTTTAAAATAAAATCAATCAAAAGAGATGACATACTCATGACAGGAGAAAACCACCAAGATGGAGTTTCAGTTTTGAACATCTATGCCCCAAATACAAAGGCATCCACATTTGTAAAAGAAACATTACTAAAACTCAAATCACATATAAAGCCCCACACACTTACAGTGGGAGATTTCAACATCCCACTCTCACCACTAGACAGGAATACCAGACAGAAACTTAACAAAGAAGCAAAGGAGCTAATAGAAGTTATGACCCAACTAAGATAAACCAACATCTATGGAACATTCCATCCAAATAAAAAAATATATACCTTCTTCTCAGCACCACATGGAACCTTCTCAAAAATCGACCACATACTTGGCAGCATATCAAACCTCAACAGGTACAAAAAAATGGAATAACTCCATGCATTAAAATTAGAATTTAACAACAACACAAATTGCAGAAACCCTACAAACTCATGCAAATTGAATGATGTGCAATTGTACCATTCCTGGGTCAAAGAAGAAATAAAAAAAGAAATTAAAGACTTCCTAGAATTCAATGAAAATGTAGACATAACATACCCAAACCTATGGGACACTTTGAAAGCAGTGCTCCAGGGAAAGTTCATAGCACTAAGTGCCCACATGAAGAAACTGGAGAAGAGTTACAGTAGAGAATTAACAGCACAGATGAAAGCTCTAGAACACAAAGAAGCAAACTCACGCATGAGGAGTACATGCCAGGAAATAATCAAACTGAGGGCTGAAATCAATAAAGTAGAAACTAGGAAAACAATACAAAGAATCAATGCAACAAAGAGTTGGTTCTTTGAGAAAATCAACAAGATAGACAAAACTTTGTTCAAACTTACCAAATGACAGAGTGTGAACATGCAAATTAACAAAATCAGAAACAAAAAGGGGGACATCACAATGGACTCTGAGGAAATTCAGAGAATCATCAGGTCATACTTTGAAAACCTGTACTCCTCAAAATTTAAAAATCTAAAGGATATGGACAATTTTCTGGATAGATATCACTTGCCAAAATTAAATCAAGAACAGATAAGCAATTTAAATAGACCTATAACCGCTATGGAAATAGAAGCAGTCATCAAAAGTCTCCCAACCAAAAAAAGCCCAGGTCCTGATGGCCTTGGTGCAGAATTCTACCAGACATTCAAAGAACACCTTATACCAATTCTTCTCAAACTATTCTAGGCAATAAAAGCAGAAGGGTCTTTGCCTAATTCTTTCTACGAGACTTCAATAACCTTGATACCCAAGCCACACAAAGACAGAACTAAGAAAAAGAACTTCAGACTAATATGCCTCATGAACATCCATGCAAAAATACTCAATAAAATACTGACAAATCGGAGCCGGGCCTTGGTGGCGCACGCCTTTAATCCCAGCACTTGGGAGGCAGAGGCAGGTGGATCTCTGTGAGTTCGAGACCAGCCTGGTCTACAAGAGCTAGTTCCTGGACAGCCTCCAAAGCCACAGAGAAACCCTGCCTCGGAAAAAAAAAAAAAACAAATTAAAAAATACTGGCAAATCAGAACCAAGAACACGTTAAAACAATCATTCACCATGATCAAGTAGGTTTCATCCCAGGGATGCAGGGATGTTTCAACATATGAAAATCCATCAATCTAATCTACCATATAAACAAGCTGAGAAACAATAATCACATGATCATCTCACTAGATGCAGAAAAATCCTTTGACAAAATCCAACACCCCTTCATGATAAAGGTCTTGGAGAAATCTGGTATAACAGGAACATACCTAAACATAATAAAAGCTATGCACAGCAAACCAACAGCCAACATCAAATTAAATGGACAGAAACTCAACCCGATTCTGCTAAATCAGGAATAAGACAAGGCTGTCCACTCTCTCCATACCTTTTCAATATTGTACTTGAAGTTGTAGCTAGAGCAATACGACAACAAAAGTAGATCAAGGGGATACAAATTGGAACGGAAGAGGTCAAACTTTCACTATTTGCAGATGATATGATAGTTTACATAAGTGACCCAAATAACTCTACCAGGGAACTCCTGCAGCTGATAAATACCTTCAGCAAAGTGGCAGGATACAGGATCAACTCAAGAAAATCAGTAGCCCTACTATATACAGACCATAAAACGGCTGAGAAAGAAATCAGAGAAACATCACCCTTTACAATTGCCACAAACAACATAAAATACCTTGGGGTAACACTAAACAAGTGAAAGACCTGTATTGTAAGAACTTAGAGTATTTAAAGCAAGAAATTAAAGAAGACATCAGAAAATGGAAAGATCTTCCATGCTCTTGGATAGATAGGATCAATTTAGTAAAAATGGCAGTCCTGACAAAAGCAATTTACAGATTCAATGCAATCCCCATTAAAATTCCAGCACAATTCTTCACAGATCTTGAAAGAACAATAATCAATGTTGTATGGAAAAACAAAAGACCCAGGATAGCCAAAACAACCTTATTCAACAAAGCAATATATGGAGGCATCACCATCCCTGACTTCAAGCTCTATTATAGAGGTGTAGTTCTGAAAACAGCTTGGTATTGGCATAAAAACAGACAGGTAGACCAATGGAATCGAATTGAATACCCTGATATTAACTCATTCATGTATGAACATCTGATCTTCGACAAAGAAGCTAAAAATATACAATGGAAAAAAGAAAGCATCTTCAATAAATGGTGCTGGCATAACTGGATGCTGGCATGTAGAAGAATGCAAATAGATCCATGTCTATCGCTATGCACAAAACTTAAGTCCAAATGGATCAAAGACCTCAACATAAATCCAGCCACACTGAAACACTTAGAAGAGAAAGTGGGTGGTACCCTTGAAAGAATTGGTACAGGAGACCACTTATTGAACATAACACCAGTAGCACAGACAGTGAGGTCAACAATCAATACATGGGACCTCCTGAAACTGAGAAGCTTCTGTAAGGTAAAGGACACAGTCAACCAGACAAAAAGTCATCCCACAGAATGGGAAAAGATATTCATTAACCCCACATCTGACAGAGGGCTGATCTCCAAAATTTACAAAGAACTCAAGGAGCAAGTATCCAAAACACCAAAGGATCCAATTAAAAAGTGGGTTACAGAACTGCATAGAGAACTCTCAATAAAGGAGACTAAAATGGCTGAGAGGCACTTGAGAAAGTGCTCAACATCCCTAGCCATCCCGGAAATGCAAATGAAAACAACTCTGAGATACCATCTTACTCCTGTCAGAATGGCTAAAATTAAAAACACCAAGGACAGTATATGTTGGAGAGGTTGTGGAGAAAGGGGAACACTGCTCCACTGCTGGTGGGAGTGCCAACTCATACAGCCAGTTTGGAAATCACAAGACCAGCAAGTCCACTCTTAGGCATATATCTAAAAGATGCACATTTATACAACAAGGACATCTGTTCCACCATGTTCATAGCAGCATTATTTGCAATAGCCAGAACTTGGAAGCAATCTAGGTGCCCCTCAGCTGAAGAGTGGATAGAGAAAATGTTACACAATGGAGTACTATTCAGCAGAAAAAAAAAAAACCAATGGAATCTTGAAATTTGCAGGCAAATGGATGGCACTAGAAGAAATCATCCTGAGTGAGGCAACCCAGTCACAAAAAGACAAACATGGTATGTACTCTCTCATATGTGGAGTTTAGACATAGATCTAGGGAGTGCCAGAGAGTCTGGGGAACAGAGCCTTCATTCAGTGGCTGATGGAAGCAGAGGCAGATTCCCACAGATAAACGCTGAGCTGAACTTGAGGAACCCAGTGACAGAGAGGGAGGACTGATGACCAAAGGGATTAAGACTGGGCCGATTCAACTCCCAGAAACAGCTGAGCTGACAAGGGTTAGCTCTTGAATCCCAGACTGATGGCTGGGAATCCAGCTTGGGACTGATCAAGACCCCCCCTGAATGTGGGTGTCAGTGAGGAGGCCTAGGCAATCTATTGAGCCTTGGGTAGTAGTTCAGTATTTATCCCTGGCATACAAATGGACTTTGGGTGCCCATCCAACAATGAGAGATGCACTCTCAACCTGGACTCTTCGGGGAGGGTCTTGGCCCTGCCCTGAATGAAATGACAGACTATGGACACCCCCATGGAGGGCCTCACCCTCCCTGGGGAAATGAGGGAGTATTGAGGGGGTTGGTGGGAGGGCATGGGAGGAGGGGAGGGAAAGGGAGAGGGACCTGGGATCAACATGTGAAGCAACCTTGTTTCTAATTTAAATTTAAAAATAAAAATTAAAAAAATATCATAGACATGTAAATATTTATCCTTTTAAAAAGTGGGATTATAATCAGTTCATGGTGGAATGTGAAAATTTTATTGAAAAGATCTTTGTGCACAGGGAACAGCATGGGGTTTCAATTATCCTTCTTGAACAGCAAAGTAAACTGGCATGCTATGATCTGACTCGGTGTTTCTGCAGGTCCTGAGTATTTTGAAATGATGCATTAGTTCCCAGGTTCCATGATCAGTGCTCTATGGGTCGGGCACCTGTACCATGCTATTTAAATTACCTGGCACAAGTAGATGTTTGATGGGTGGAGCTCTGTTTCTCACTTTTAGAAGAAGAAATGTGATTTTCTGTGGAGTCACATCTTATAATAAACATGTGTGAAGAGCAGCTCCTTCGTTTTGGAAATGTCTTAATGGAAGGAGGAAATTGCAACTGGAAATCCTACCTGACATTGTGGGGTCAGCCTTGTTTTTCCATTCTTACCACTGATCTGTGAGGGAACTGAGTAAGCAGGTTCATCCCATTTGGTCAAGGCCCTGCATCCTTCATGACACAGCAGATGTGTTAGTTGGTATTGTTGTGCTAGTTAGTATTCAGTGGCAAGTTAACGAGATGCCCTAACTTCTGGTTTCTCACTAGACAAAGAAGGCCTTTATGTACAAGTGATGTGTTTTTTCACTCAGATAGTTTGTATGAAGTCTTCGTTCTTTGAGCCCATAGAAATATTTTTCCTAAGGTAGAAGAGTAAACTAGCTTCTTAGTGTCACTGAGTTTGCAATTTTTTTGTTCATTTTAAATGATGAACAGGCCTTGCAAGTCCCTACTAATAATAAGCAAAAAGAAATCAGGTTTTCTTATTCTTGTTTTAAAGATGAGATAACTGTACAGTTGAAAGAGTTTATGCAACTTTCCCAAGCTCTCATGAAAAACAGGTGACAAAGCTAAATTTTCCCACATAATGTCATGTTGGGATGAGAAATGTGTCCTTACTTAGAATATTACATCAGTGAATCACATGCTCTACAGAGCACTCGGGCCAGTGGGAACACTGCTGAACCTTATCCTAGGCACACAAGAAAATGGTGTGAATATAGGGCGGGATAGTAACATTCATTTACATAGCATTCGAAAACAAAATGAATTCTGTATCAGGCACTTGGAATCTCAGACCGTCAGGGAGTGAGAAATTGATTGTCCTGTGTTTACTTCTCTCTTCTCCACTCATTTTCTCTGGTTGATGCTCTCTTCAGATGCCAGAGGCCAGTCATCGCTGCCAGATGACTGGGCTCTGCTGTCTCATCAAGGGGCTGTGGCAGCACTTGTTTCCATGAGCGCTGGAAGAACAGATGCAATGGAAAAAGCACAGGCGGTTGTTTCTAAGTAGCTGGCAGTGTGATTCACAGTGCCCTGTATAATGTGAATGGAATCCGATAGCTCTTGGAACCAGGCATCGTGAGTAAGGTTACCATTGCTGGCAAGCCCAGTAGAGGCCGAGTACTTGGTTAACATGTTCATATCCAGGTTTTAGGAATATTCTTTGAGTTTAGCTTCATTGTCCGAATAAACTAGGTATGTCTGGAAGGGGTATTGCCTAATTTCTATGGGTATCTAAAAATAAGATTTTGAAGGCAAATCCTTTTGGGGGGGATGAGCAAATCAACCTTAAACATCCCATAGTCTGCCATGAAGTCTGATGATAGGTTGTTCTTAGGATTCTACTTCTAGACAGGCTTGGTGGCTCATGCCGGTAGTCCTACCACTGGGAAGGTTGAGGCAGGAGAGCCTGGGGGTTCATGGTAAGCCTAGGTAACACAACCAATCCTTGTCTCAGCAACATAAAACCAAACAACAGTGACCCCTTCCAGTTCTAGTGAAATCCATTCTCGGAGTCATGTAAAAGGTGTAAAAAATATAATAGGCCTAAGGGTCTCAAGGGATCATAAGAAGACAGAGTTTGCAAAGCAGTTGTTTAACTACCTATGGAGCCAAAGAAGCATAATAATTCATAATAATCCATATGCTTTCCCAAGGATTTTGTGATGCTAGCTCTGACTTTGACACAATAATTGTAAATAAATAGAGCCTGCATTATATACATCTGTGTTCTGTAGTCATGTAGTTTCTTTTTGCTGATGTTGCTTTTGCCTGTAGTTACAACAAAAATATCCTCACCAGACTTTAAATGTCCATAGCCATCTTCAGTCCTTTCCTTGTTTATATGGCCTGTTTCCTAATATATTTCGCTGCCTTTTTTTCTATTGTCACTCATGCTCTTTTTCTTTTTCCTTTTCTTTTTCTTTTTCCCTTTCTTTTTCTTTTTCTGGATAGCCACTAAGCTCTTGTATATGGGGGGAAAAGCTCACAGTGATTGCAAAATTGCTTGCCATCCTTATGGACTAATCTGTGTTCTGTAGTCCTAAATCATCCCAGCATTATTGTAAGTCACAATCAAAAGAGTTCTAGGCGAATGGAAATGGGTTTTATGTTGCGACACCTTTGTCAGTCTAAAATTGCTGAGCTGAAGAAGAGGCTGTGCAGTGACTCTCCTGACAGCCGAGGTGCCTTTCACTCCCTTAATGCCTAACCTCCAGCATCTGGTCCATACCCAAGAGTGAGCAGCTTGTTTTCCAATCACGGCATAGTCTGCAATTCGACCTTTTTTGGAAATTAGGTACACTTTCCAACATATATGCTTAGAGGCCCTTGGGTATTCAAACCGTTTCCTAGTCTACTTTCCCAGACATAAAAGATACCATGTGTGAAGTATGTGGAATGAAAATGTCAAGGTGTTTGGGTGGGTTCTCTCTACAGAAAATATATTTGCTTATTGCAGTTCCTCTGTGAAGACTGTAAAGTGCCTAGCTCAAGGACAGTTTAAAATCACCTCTCCAGAACAGAGCTGAAATAATTTATGTCTGCTGTATAAATAGAACCTTCCAGAATATAAACCGATGAGCTACCTCAACTCCCACCTCTTTTATGAAGCCTTCCTCAGTGCCCTGGTTAAAAAGAATGCAGTCATCCTCTGCTCTTCCACAGTGTGTTGACCTTTCTTCTCATATCTCAGCCTGCCTCCAGTGCCGTTTCTTTCATCGCTTTCCCCCCACTTTTGAAATTAGAGTCGGAATTTTATCATACTCCTCTTTTATTTTTTATTTTTGTAAATCCCGCTGACTACATGTCTAAACTGTTGGGTTTGCTTCCCCAACTTTACCTGGTTTCCTCTCTGAAGGTGCCTGCTTAGTGCTTCCTCACTGCTGGGATTGTGTGATCTCAAAAGCACCCACCATTCACATACTGTAGAATGGCTTGTTTATATGACTGCCTCTCCTTTTAGACTATAAATTCCATGAGGGTAGAAGCATGCTTTTTCATCTGTATTTCCCCATGGCCTAGCATAGTGCTGGAACACAGAATACTCATTACGGTTATATTGAATGAATGTTGGACTTCATTCAATGGGCTTGACCTGGAGTATATTAATTTGGAAAGGTAGAGGCCTATTTTCCACAGTTAGCTGTAGTGCAAAACAGTAGCGTTCAGTTAACTGTTTCATCTTATTATATATATGCATGTACCTCTCTAGAGAACTGTAAATACCAATGAAGTAAGCTGCTTCATTACAGTCAATATCTCATGGCAGAAAAGGTCTGATTGTTTCTCCCACTTCAAAACCCAAAGTTGGTCATCTGTCATCTTTCACAGAAGATTGAAAGTTGATTGTTGCATTTTTTTAAATTTCTGAGTTCCCATTATACCTAATGATAGAATTGCCTGTTAAGTGGTCTGTTCCTCATCTCCCACCTAAGAAATGTAAGCATCCTGTGTGTAGCATCTCACCTTATGCCAAGTTCTTACCATAGTGCTTAGAGAGAGTGGGAGATAATCAATATGTGTTTACTGAACTAAATGTCAAGTTGAATCTGTGAATGACTAAAAACGTGTAGGATTTCTTAACTTAAAAATAGAAGCTCTTGCTTGGTGTAGTGGCACACACCTTTAATCTCAGCTTTCCAGAGGCAGAGGCAGGCAGAACAATGTGAGTTATCGGTCAACCTGATCTACAGAGAGAGATCCAGGACAGCTAGGGCTATATAGAGAAACCCAGTCTCAAAAAACAAAAACAAACAAACAAAAGTAGAAGTTTTTTTCACTGTCTGGGCAGAGTTGGTCAGGTCTAATGGCTTTTCAGAGAGATGCTCTAACTGTTAGAAGATGATATTGCCAACCTAGAATGTGAGTCTGGCATTGTTTCCAGGTTCCTCCCCAAAATGATGCTGCATCTTTCCTTTAGGAACTTAATTTTAACTGTTTTCCTATTGCTCAAACTCTTCCCCCAGAAGAGGTAACACGAGCAGGACCACCATTTGGACTGAAACCCTCAAGGCTTAAATGATTGTGTAAGATTACACAATCCATCCTTGGCTAGGTCTCTTGAGATCTAGTTAAATACTTGCTTTTCTGCTATGACTCATGGGATTTCTCCATGTAGCGAGGAAGGATGCTCACTTCCAGGCAAACACTGGCTTCTGAAACTGTAAAAATTCTGCCCTTTAAGATTTCAAAGGGACAACACACAGCTAAAAACCATTTAAATATATTGAATTATTCTTTAGGTAGAGAGCCACATGCTAGGGGAAACCTATACACCACAGGTAAACAAAATAATGTGCTTCTCACCAGTGAGAGAAATGACGATTTTACTCAGTTTGTTCAGAAGTGAGATGTGCTAAGCCACAGGATATTCTCAGCATTTGTCTTGAAGTGAATGATCCTAAAAGGACAGAGTGGACTGGAAAGTAAACAGCAGGCATTAACATTCCCAAGGAAAGAGTGCGTCAGTCACAAAGGATTGTCCTTGGCTCTAGCAGCACAGTCCGGGCACCTCCTCCCCCAAGTGTACTTCAGCAACTTTTATCCAGCGTGCCTTAGAGTCAGGGAGAGGGATTGCAGAATACAGATCTGGAAGCCTTGCTGCCAGATTCCAATGCCCAAGAATTTGCGGCTTTTGAAAGTTCCCATGTGAGGGGCCTGGAGAGATGGTTTTGCAGCTAGGAGCCCATGCTTCCCTTGCAGAGGACCTGGGTTCCATTTCTAGGACTCATATTGGATGACTCACCACCTCTAACTGCAGCTCCAAGGCATCAGATGTCTTCTGGCCTCTTCAGGCTCCCATATGCACATACACGTCTCCCAGATAAACATACATACCCATAATTCAAAATTAAAATAAATCTTAAAAGTTCCTACATGATGTGGTATTTAGTTGGTGAACTACGACTTGGGGAACTAGGAAAATGTCTTTAAAAATAATTGGACATTTTGTTTGAGTTAATATGAACTTTTCCATTTTAATTTTATTCTTGGGTTTTTTGTTTTTGTTTTTGTTTTTCAAGGCAGGGTTTCTCCTAGCTGACCTGGAACTCACTCTGTAAACCACGTTGGCCTTGAACTCACAGAGATTTGCCTATCTCTGGCTCCCAAGTGCTGGAAAAAGAGCTTGGGCCACCACCACTGACCTGATTTTATTCATGGTTTTAATTAAAGAAAATCTATTCAATAGGAAGTTAAAGGACAGATGGGAAAGTAAAGCAACTGGCTTAGTTGATAGGCGTGACCCTATTAACTAAGTAGTATGGTCACAAATTGAGCAGCTTAAAGCAACACTCATTTACAGATCCCTGTGCCGGGCATCAGGAGTCTAGGGCAGAGCTGGCAAAGTTCTCTGTTCAGACTGAAGTCAAGGTGTTGACCAGCAGTTCTCACCTGAGTGTGTTCCTATTATTGGCAGTAGTCATTCCCAGGCAGCTGTTAAGTCTTGTCTTTCCTTCTGTCCTCTGGGAACTGCTCCATGATCCTGAAGCTTGCTTGAAGATCCACAGAAGGTGCCTCTCTAGGGAAATCATAAGCTTGTCTGTCTGACTTAAGAGTCCTTGGTTACACAGCAATTGAACTTCTCCCAGGAGATTAACGAATTGGCATTGTTACTGTGTTCATTTCCTGCTGTGAATGTATTTGAAGTGGGTCTCCTCTTTCTGTGTTGACAAGATTGAATTTTAAGACTAAGTTTCCATCCTGGATGAAGATAAACACACTAAGATGAAACGAAGTATTGTGAACTAGTCCAGAGAGCTTATCTACCCTCTTAGGCATCGTCTCTTTGTGGCTTTACCATCATTCTTGTTCTTCCAATATATCAGATTAAAATCAAGATCAAAATTAACAGGGGGAATTTCTCAGAAACTGAAACCTAGTGATTTTTAAAAATCAGTCTCTTGAAACATTACATGAAATTTGAGTCTTTGGTGTTGAGACCTCTAAGCAATATAAAAATTTTGAACAGAAATAATATGAAAATCATGTAATTAAATGTGAAACATTGACAATTTCCTTCTCATTTGAATTCTTGAGCTGCTCAACATTAGATAGTGATGGAGTAACTCAGAGATTCTCAACCTATGTGTTGCAATATCATACATCAGATATTTATATTATGACTCATAATAGTAGCAACATCAGTTATGAAGTACAAAAGAAATAATTTTGCGTTTGGGGGTCACTACAGTATGAGGAACTGTAGTAATGGGTCTCAGATTAGGAAGGCTGAGAGCACTGGAGTAAATCTGCCATTTTAAAACATCTAGTCTAAATGCCTGAAATATGTGTGACTTTTAGTTGCCATATCATTTCTTTAGCCACTTGGAATTTTCAAGCTTTACTTATTTGAATATTCTACATAAGTGCACTTAGTTGATTCTTCTTAATTTATTTATTTGTATTGTTATGGGCATTAGTGTTTTGCCATGGGTGTCAGGTCTCTAGGAACTGGAATTACAGATAATCGTAAGCTGCCTTGTGGGTGCTGGGAATTGAACCTGGGTCCTCTGGAGGAGCAGTCAGTGCTTGTAACCATTGAGCCATCTCTCCACCCTACTTAGTTGATTCTTATATAGACATCCAAATGTAGAATTACTTTAGAGAACACTGGTAAATAGCATTTGTTTCTCACACTATTAGAGAATAAACTATCAACCTTTGCAGACTTAGCTAAGATTTATGGGCTAAAGTGGTAAAATGTAAGCTATGTTTTAAGATGTAAGCTATGTAATGTAGGGTAGCATTTTGGTTTATACAAAAGTTAGTATGAACAAGACTAAAATATTTAGCTGGCTATAAATTAAAAATCTGCCATCATGACATATACCATGGACTTTAGGGCTCATTAATAGAATTGCATGACTAGATCTTCCTATCTCTGAGAATATTTAACCATTCTCTGAGAATATTTAACCATTTTCTTTGACTGTTAAGTGTATAGAATGGTTTTTATAAATGATTTAGGTGAACATCAATGAGATTACATATTAGAAATCAAGTCACATGAAATTATTTTCAACAAAGAATTCTTAGCCTTAAAAAGAGAAGAAAAACTTAGGGGTTATAAGAAAGTTCAGACTGTTTGTCTGTCTAACTAACCTAAACAGTGGTGTAACTGATTAGATTTGAGTTAGATTCAGTACTGGAGTAGCCACACACTCAGTGATTTTTTTCTTTTAGCCTTTTTTTTTTCCTTTTCTGGATTCAAAACTGGGTGCCTTTTTTGTTAATTCTTCAACTGAAGAAAGATAATATCCTTTTTTTTTAGTTGAAGAAAGGCAGGGCACCTTGACGGCAGTTTCAGCAGGCTGCATTCAGTAGGGTATAGATTCCTAGATTAATGGGCCTCTAGTACATAGAAATGATGGATAGGAGGATGTGAGGCAGTAGTCCAGGCAGGCTTGCTGTGTTTTATCATAAGGAAGAACATTCTAGCAATTCGGGCTGCACTGTAACATTGTGGACTTCCCATCTACCATAGGATATTCTTTTGATTGCTTGTAGTAGAAGCATGACATTAGTATTAAGTCCTTATTAGGAAGAGTCTATAAATATCTCCTAATGGAAAGGATTCGACAGTCCATTTGTGTGAGGACAGGCATCTGCTGGGCCTCACAAACAACTGGAGGCAGAGACTCAAAAGCAGCTGGCCTTACTTCTCCATTTGTCATCTCTGTCTCTGCTTCCCTAAGAATCATAGTTTTCTTGCACAGCAGTCTTGGTTTTCTACCTCGTGTGGGTCATTCAGAGTGCCTGAGTTTCCCTTCTCACCACACTACAGAAAAACATACTCATATATAGTGAGGAAGGTCTAAAGACTGGTTAAACTTGACTCTGGTGCTCAACTCTGCACAAACCAGCTAAGGTGCAACCTCAGCAACATTGTTTAGAGTTTCATGCCTTCTTAAGACAGACCTGGGGCCTGGGGGAATGCTTAGTTACCACATTGCTTTTTCTACCCCTCCTTGAGTTTTTGTTCAGGAGTATCCCAGAGACCTCCAAAAATATGTAGACTGTTGCCATTGTTCTTGGTTGTCCATGAGAGTTTGATAATAAGAGCCTGTAAAGCTGGTCAAGAACCCATGACTGGTGAGCTCCTAGGCCCCAGAGACCAATCTACTATGGTTATTTTGCTAAATTGACATAGTATCCAACTGCTTTGTGGTACACCTCTTTACCAGTAGGTTAGGGTATATATAGCTTTCCATCCTCATCAGAGAGGCTTCTTTGTTCCATGGAGAGAAGCTAATGCAGAAACTTGCAATTCAGTAAAGTATAAAGATTAAGTGTCCTTGGGATGTTTGGCCATAAATGGGACCTCTATGCTGTGCCTTCCTCCTCCAAAGTTCAGGCAACATTGTGGGAAAAGGGCCAGAAAGATTGTAAGGACCAAAGATCGGGGAAGACACAACAGGACCACTGCGCTCATGAACACAGCAGCTGTAGGGACCTGCATAAGACCTACAAGACCAAGCCAGTCGGCATTCTAGCACAGAATGTGAAGGGACTCATGGTCCTTTTCCTTGCTAAGAGGCTGTGAACAAGTAATGGCTGCTAGAGGAGAGAGTCAGTTCCTTGAAAAACATAGTCCTGCCTGTGTTCCAGTGGATGGCTTCCCACCCATGCATATACAAGCAGCTTGAGTTGGACTCTGGGTTATAAAAAAGGGACAGGGACATGAACTTGGGAGGGCTGGGTGGATTTGGAAGGAGTAAAGGGGAGGAATAGTGCTGAATATATTCAAAATATATTGTCTGCATGTATGGAATTCTCAAAGAACTGATAAAATACATGTAAATTTTTTTACCTTTAAAAAATTACGGAAATGTAGAAATGTACAGAGGGGCATATGCATTTCCACCCTGATTCCCATAGTGTCACTCTCTTGCACAAATCTCATAAGGCAAAAAAAAAAAAAAAACCCAAGAGGCTGACATGGCACAATACATATATTTACTTTGAACTAATTACTTTTGCATTTATTGGTGTGATTTTCTTTTTAGTAGCACATGTACCTATATTTAATTGTTACCACTGCCAAAATAGCAGTAATATCATTTAGAGACTCTCATGTACTCACCCTTTGCAGTCATTCTTAGCTCAACTACTGCTCCTGTAAAATTTTGTATCCATTTATCCATGTCTCATCTCTTGAACCATGTTGCTTCACAGATAGCAAGCAAACGAAAATATATTTTACTATAAGGTGTGCATATCAAGTTTTATTCATAATAGTTCCAAACTGGAAACCATTCAAATATATATAAAAGTGTGAAGGGTTAAACAAGATATGGTATGCTGGAACCATAAATATTAGCAATAAAAAATAGACAAACCTTAAGGAAAGTGAAAAAAGACATCTCAGAAAGATCCATATTGTATCATTCCATTTATAGATATCTGTGAAACAACATGGGCTTGTGGAGTACATCTGTTCTTAGTTTTAAAGTAACTATTAGATTATCTTACGAAGGATTGTCCCATTTTTTATCACCATGAGAAAGTCTCAGTACAAGTGGTCCATCTTCTCATCCTCTCTAGCATTTGGTGCTACCAATAATTTTAATTTTACCCATTTTCATAGGGATATCTCAATTTGATTTTAACTTACATTTCCGTAATGGCTAATGATGCTGAACATCTTCTCATATGCTTACTGTTATCCGTGTCCCTTTGGGGAGATGTTTGCTTCTTTTCTAGTTGGGTTATTTTGAATGTTGAGTTTTGAGAGTTCCTTTTATAGTTAGAGTCAGTCTTTGACTGGATATGTGCTTTGCAAACACTTTCTCCAGGTGCATTTTGTCTTTTTACCCTTTAACATAGTCGTTCACAGAGCCAAAGCCTTCGTTCCAGACCATCTCTATCCTTGAACTTGTGCTTTTCTTACCTTAGTCTACTGGGTGCTGGAATACAGCTGTGTGCTGCCAACTTGGTAAGCTTTAACTTTTGATGAAGATGTCTGCTTTAAGTAATGAAGAATATATTGTGCACATTAATGATTGAGCTAAAGGATTTTAGAGTTCTACCTTCTTCTTCAGCCTATGTTACCAGTTATTTTACCAGTGCACACGTAGTTAAATTGTAGATGAGTGAGAATATGCAAATGTAGTGGAGTTCTGTGCATCTGACTCTATTGAGGCACATGTTTTTCTCTTTTGTGGTGTTTTATTTAAGCAGAAAAGGAAAATTCAGTTCCATTAAGGAAGCAAGATGTCTTTACAGACTGAATGGACTTGTGTTTCTGCTTGTACCACTGACTTACATAAATAGACACCTCACACTAAAGAAGTGCAGCTTTGTTTATATGTACTTTGCTTTTAGGCTCTCCTGAAGGAAGCCTGTTGGATGGTTCTAAAAATATAGAACATCTTCCATTGTGTTGGAATTACATACACTGGATTATGATGGTGAACAGAATAGATGTGGGTACTGTGCCCACAAGCTTAACACTTCATTTTGTGTCTTCTTTCACACAGCTCCGTGATACTGTCAGTGATTCACTGATTCAACTGAGTATCCTCATTTTCCATCTATCATGGGATCTTTATTGCTTTTTATGCAGCATGTCTTAAATCATAAGTGACTGATTTTAATGCTTTAGGAGTG